GGGCCTGGCACACGCGGGTCCTACGTGATCCTGATGAACCGCTGGTCACAGTCCTTTCCCACTGATGGCCAGGATGTGCTGTTTCTCATTCTCAGCTGCTCTAATTATCCAGCCAATTTGATTTTCCTGTACATGGAATGCTCTACTTCTAAATTACAGGACGTTTTGGAAGCAAATCATTGTTACTAATCCAGTAGTTAGGACCAATTTCCACTAAGTCAGCAACTGAAAATGGTGTTTGAACTACAAAATCATAAATTGGTACTTCTTCAGGTGGATCATCTAAATACTCTTTTTAAGGGCAATAATTCAATAGTGCTTATTAAGAGAGTAGAAGTGGCTTGGCCCTCACTTGGTTGAGTAGCAGCAATCTGAATAAACTCTCACCATGTGCTTTCACCGGAGTGGGAATCATTCTATCATAAAATCTCAAAAGATGATGCTTTGGAGCTCCTGAACCTTTCCTACTTCTACTAGATGTACGTGGATGGATGGGCAGGGGTGAGGTGAGTGGATTATCAATTACCGATGTGAAATTTGTGCAGGATTACGAACCTTTATCAAAAGGAGGTTAGATGGTGCCGCCACCTATACACAACCTGGCTGCCAGGGTTTGGGCTTAGTCAAGGTGGGGAAGACTGCCCTCCACCCATGTGCCGCACCCCTGTTCAGTCTGTGCCACAGGTTTGGTCCAGAAGCAGAGTTATTGATATCCAATTACCAGGCCTTCTTAAGGATTCTAGAAGAACAAAACCAGAACTAGCAAAAAGTGACAAGCCAGCAAATATCACTTCCTATCTTTCGCCCTGGGAAAGTCGTTCAGCCTCCCTCATCCTCGCTTCTATGTAAGATGAAAATGCAGAATGGCTACGTGGATCCTAGGTAAGAAAATACACGAGTACCCACACAGATGCCGTCAATATTTTAGCTCTTGTAAAAATCATGCAGAAAGTCCATCCCCCATAATTGCCTAGCAACAGAATTTTTTTCTACCAAATAAACTACCTTTTGTGATAGAATTGATGGGGCATTTTAATATCACGCACCCTAACTGCACTTGCAAAGATCTTCCATCATTTCTCTGAGGCAATCGGATGTTTTTATTTTTAGTTACCTCTCTGGCAAAATGTATAAATAGCTGCAGATTAAACCAAATTTTCATTTTAGTTGATGACTACCTCTCATGGCCCTAAGGGGAGGGATCATGACTCTCCTTTTCCCAGCTGAATCCCCAGCTCCCGGCACAGGGTTACCTCTATAATAAGCCCTCAGTGCCTGTTTGTGATAGATGGTTGAATAAATTTTCTAAAGCTGCCATAACAAATTCCCACCCACTTGGTGCATTAAAACAAAAGGAATTTATTCTCTTACAGTTCTAAAGGCCAAAAGTTCAGCATGAGTTTTACCGAGCCAAAACCAAGGTGTCAACAGCACCACGCTCTCTGCAGAGGCTCGGGTGGAGAATTTGTTCCTGGCCTCTGTTTCTGGTGGCTGCTGGCATTCCTTAGTATGTGCCCACATCACTCCAATCTCTGCCTCTGTCTTCATAGTACCTGCCCCTCTGTTGCGCATATGAAAGCCCCTCTACCTCTCTCTTTCGAGGACATGTGTGATTAGATTTAGGGGATGCCTAGATAACCCAGGATCATCTCTCCCTATCTGGATCCTTACTTTATTCACCTCTGCAAAGACCCTTCCTTGTAACATTTACAGGTTCCTGTGATCAGGACCTGTTCTCTTTGGGTGACCATTATTTAGCCTACTATAGTGGTATTTGGTGACACACTATCTCAGGGACATGAGCACAGAAATGGTGGATTTGGGAGCAGTGGACGATGACACAGCCACTCACAGGTTAGGAGCTCAGAAACCAGCTTTCCTAACTCTCCTCCCTGCTATTCCTTCCTGTACTGTGTTCAGTGATGGACTTGGGAGAAAACAAAACTGGGTCTTCAGCCCTCCTGGGCCCTGTGCATCCTCCCTTCCATCCCCAAATCCCTCAGTAAGTTATTTTTAAAATAGAAAAAAACAAAAAAAACAAAAAAACCCCTTATGATTCCAAAGAAACCAAACCTCAGGCATCTTTAAAAGAGTTCACCCTCCTTTACTGGCAGTTCTGTAACTTCAACCTAACTTAAGAAATACACACAATAATATCTATAGTGATGACCAGCAAGGGTAGCAAAGCATCTCCCAAGGGTAAGGTACCATTCATTCTCCTCCTCAAAGACCTTTCAGATACCTGAACCTCCTGAATTAAAAAAAAAAAACACTAACAGAGTGGCACCTGGGTGGCTCAGTAGGTTAAGAGTCCAACTTTGGCTCAGGTCACAATCTCCTGGTTCATGAGATCAAGTCTCGAGTCGGGCTCTGTGCTGACAGCACAGAACCCGCTTTGGATTCCATGTCTCCCTCTCTCTCTCTGCCCCTCCCCTGCTTGTTCTCATTCTCGTTCTCTCTCTCTCTCTCTCTCTCTCAAAAATAAAAAAAATAGAGAAAGGAGCCTGGGTGGCTCCCAGTTCAAGCGTCCGACTTCAGCTCAGGTCTGATCTTACTTACTTGTCCGTGGGGATTCCCTAGGAGCCCCGTGTTGAGCTATGGGCTGATGGCTCAGAGCGGAGCACCTTTCATTCTGTGTCTCCCTCTCTCTCTGCCCCTCCCCCGTTCATGCTCTGTCTCTCTCTGTCTCAAAAATAAATAAACGTTAAAAAAATTTTTTTTTAATAAAAAAAATAAAAAATAAATAAATAAAAATAAACGGGGCCTGGAAAAGCGAGTAGGTCCAAGCACATCAACCGGCTCAAGTCATGATCTTGCCATTTGTGAGTTCAAGCCCCACATAGGGCCGGCTCTGTGCTGACAGCTCAGAGCCTGGAGACTGCTTTGGATTCCGTGTCTCCCTCTCTCTCTCTCTGCCCCTCCCCTGCTCGCACCGTGTCTCCCTCTCACTCAAAAATAAACAAACATTTCAAAAAAAAAAAAAGAAAACAAACATTAAAAAATTTAAACACACGCACATACTAACAGAAGCAGCCAGACTAAATAGCAACAAGGAGGGAGGAACTGAGCAACAGGAATAACCCCCCAATTTCACTAAAAACTACTAAACCAAGTTCTCAATAAAATGAGACTCTCTCTACCTGGCTGTAACCCAGAAGTTAGTTGACCTTGGTTGCTTCCTCTGAGAACTTTTCAATTCCTAAAATAAAACTACCTTCAGATTTATTCACTCACCTCCTTCTAAATGTGACCTTTTATTCCAAAGCAATAACTCCGGCAGAAGGCCAAGGTCCCCTGGAAGGACGCAAGGTATCTGTTCACCACAGGGTGCAGCAAGGATGCATCTTCTCTTTGTTTGCACTTCCCCATCCCCAGTGATACACATATCCTTTGTATTCAGTGCTGAGGTAACAGGCAAATGCTCTGACAAACTACGAAATCGTATCAGATTACTACACGTTATTTAGAACCATAAGAAAATAAACATCAATACCCTATGTATCCTTTTCAATAAAGTGATTAAACTCAACTGTCTGTAATATACAGACCTGCTCTTGGCAGATGCCAGGCTTTGCCGGGGTGCTCACGTTCATCACCTATTATCTGACCAATACGGGCTTGAAGGAGCATCCTGTCTCCCAGTAGAGTGGGGGGTACAGAAGAGGGAGGACACAGAGGCCTGTGGGGTGAATAGCTTATCTTTAGCTCTTCAGACAACACAACTGCATAGGAACACAGGAACACAGAATCATAGAGGTTTTCAAAGTGAGGCAAAGATGGAATTAATGGCTTGATCTTTTGGCCCCCAAATACCTGCTGCAGCGGTTTATCTTTTCCCTCTTTCCAGAGACATTCTTCACAGGGAACCGTGGGTCACTGGGCTGCGGGGTCCCTGTGGAGGCTCGGCCACCACCTGGGCACCAGCCACCTACCTCAACACGCCTTGCAGTCACTCAGAGCCCCTCGTGGGCAATGCCTGTCCCACTGGATGCCTTAGCTTCTAATGACCTGTACCCGATTGCCAGGGACTGCATTTGTCCCTCCGAGGTACTCTGTAGACAAAATTTTAAATTTCCTTTTTGTTTTGGGGACTTGTTTTTTGAGAAAATGAATTTTTACACATGAAGCAAGGGAGAGAGTGGCAGAATAGTTCAGTTTGTAAATACTACCCTAATTTTTGCTTCAACACCAGGTTGGACCAAAGCAAAGCTCGCGGATAAGGTGATCTATATGAGGTCATTGCTAACATGTCGCACGACAAATACTGATGCCCAATTAATAAGGAGTTACAGAGAGCACATTGTTGGGCACTTCTCACTCTACTAACACACACAAAAAAACAGACGACAACAAGAAAGCCAAAGGGCCCGGAGGCCATTCCACGCCAGGGTCCTTCTGATGAACCTGAGAAAAGGTTTGGCTGATTGAGAAGGAAGTGCATCTGTGGAGCTGTGTCAGGCCCTTACACCCGAGAGAAGAAAAGTTTCCAGTTACGGCATTAAACTCTATTTATTTAGTATTTGAAACATGGTGTACATTTATGAATTTGTATAAACATTTAGTACATCTAAAATCCACAACTGGTAAACAATCTGTGCTTTCTTTTTGTGTACAATTTTGGAGTTTACATCTGGATATTTTGGTGTTGTGGAAAGACCCCGTCTGTGAATCTAATCAAACTGCCTCACAGGACCACAGTAACCGTGACAGAAGTGATCTGCTCCTTGCACAGAAAAGGTGTCACGCTTTGGAACTACTAAACCAGGTGTCAAGGAAACCAGAGAAACACAGCTGACACAACGAAGGAAGTGTGTGCGAGAGACTCTGAGAGAGCCCCATCTATGCCCAGCGGGCCATGCGCAGACATTAGAAATGTGGACACTCCCCTTCAGAACCTTCGGATGTTAACATTGAGTCTCTTCCCCTCCCTCATCTGGAGGGGTTCCGTCCAGCAGGAGTTTGCACAATCTTGGACACACTTCTTAGGGCGCCCACAGGTGTCACAGCTGCAACTCTGCGGTGCCAACCAGGCCCAGAGCTCGGGCTTCTTCTGGAGTCAGGCCGCTCTTGAGGGTCCTTCGCACTTCAGCAGCATCCGCAGGTCACAAAGGAATGAGAAGACAGGGGGGTGTTAGCAGCCAGCACATGGTAGTCCGTCTGCCCCACGCCTTACCCGCCACCCCCAAGGATTCCCAGGGTCGTCACGGGGCTCACAGATGCTCAGCCGCATCCTGCTTCTGCTGAAGCGCCTGGCCATCTGTCTGTAGGGCAGAACAAACTGGGGGCTGCAAGAGGCTGGCTTGAAGAGCCAAGTGGAGGGATTGACCTTGTAAGAGGGAAGAAGGGAGGCCCACCCTTACAAGGTTTCTGAGAAACGGGTGCAATAGTCAAGTACAGACGGCATGTGGACCAGTGTAAGGAGTGGATCAGAACTGGAACAGTCACTACAGAGCATAGGAAAACGCAAGTTCCAAAGATTGCAAACACTAGATAAGATAAACCCACAGATCTACAGGATGAGCAATGATGACCCGGCCCCGCAGAGCAAGGTGTTAACAGAACCAGGCAAGGGCAGCAGTCAGGAGGAGTCTCCCCATGAGCGTTGTGGGTCTTAGTCTCAACTCATCAAGGGGCCGCTGGAAACAATAACCATTGACTCCTTATGGACTGGACGTCAAGGAGCAAACTGCCGAACTTCTGGCTCGATTTGTTAAATGTTCTCTGTGAAACACACAAGGCTCAAGAAGGACCAGTGACCCTCTTCTCTGGGGCTTACAACTGGCAGGTGGAGGAATGCTCACATCTAACCAAGAACTGCTTGTGCTTAGCTTGGCACGCTGGGTTTTCCCATTGTTTATTGTTGATCAATTTTGACGTCAAAATAAAGGCTGGATAAGGGTGACTGGAGAGGCAGCCGCCCCTTCCAAGACAAGTCCTTTCATTTGAAAGGTTGCCTAATTACATTTCCCTTGATTTCTCAGTTGTATTTGGCCTACTCTCTACAAAAGGTCATGCGGAGTTTGGGGTATTTGCTCTATTTTCAGAAGAGATGTGTTATGGATCTACCTTAATCCTAAATCAACCAGAGGACCTGTGGTGAACATGGCAGGCCCTTGATCAGAATGCAGAGAAACTAAAGCTCACCCTTCATGCCTTCCCATTGTCCAGTGCCAGACCCAATTCCCCGCGCCCCCTGTGACTGGGGGGCCTATAGCCTCCCCCTCAGGGGGAGGGAGCCTCAGAGGATGCAGACAACAGGATCACAGCTCATGTTCCTGCCAGCAACACCCCATATTCCAGTGCCTTCCCAACCTCCCCTAAGCAAAAGCCCGCTTAGCCCATGTACAAAGGATCTGAAAAGATCTGGTAGAACGTACAGGGTCTAAGTACCTATTAACAAATGGTTTCTTCTCTCCCAGGAATCAGCACTTTCAACAGGAGCCAACACCGAACCCATCAATTAGTCAATCAACAGATACTTCATAGAAAACCTACTGTGTTCCCAGCACTTAAAGAACCGGAACACCAACAGAAGACTCAGAGACATCAAGCATGGATTGAACACAAATAGAGACACAAAGATCTGTGCCTAAAGTTGCCCTCAAATCATGCCACCCCCACACTACTGTATTTCCAAGCTGAGCTCTGGGCTCCTGAGCCATCCATCTACAGCCGCTCCTGCACTGGCTCACCCTCCCCCCCACGCTTGGCCCCTTGGGCTCCAGACTGTCTAACTCGTCCAGACAAAATGTTTGGCTCCAGAGCCTTGGCTGGAGGCAGACTGCATTTAACTGAGTAATGGAATTTGTTCTATGGGGCAGCAATAAAAATACAAGTTTGTAATAACCTTTTATGTTCTTTAAACACTCCTTCAAGTGTTTGTCAAAGAAAGATAATTTTAATAAGGCAGAAAAGAAGATAAAATATTTCTCATTCTTGACAAGGACTGCTAAGACCTCTCTTCCAAAACACAAAATTCTGCCTTGAAGAAGTCCAGGCTGCACTAGCAGGGCATCTTAAATTTCATTAGTCGCAGAGGTGGCGAGGACATGTGTCTATGAACTGTAATCTTTGAGCCTTGAGGTATGCATGCTTGGCCAAATGACGACAGAAGGCTTCACGAACTGATGGGCATTTAGAGATGCTCCCCTAACATGTGTTCACGCATTTGCTTTAATCTGTAACTGCGGTGTTCAGTTCGGTTCATGTAAATACTTGAATAAGGACCTTGGCACCTTACAGGGTGTGCAGTGATCTCCTAATTGATATGGGCATTGGACCAGCCTCTCTGAGACAGGCTCAGGGAATAGAACAAAGCTTACTAGAACAAATGCTACCTTAGCCTCGCTGCCTCACTGTACAGAGTGCACCCTTAGCCTGGTAGCCTCCTCTCAGGTTTTATGGGCCAGACCCCCTGGGACCCTCCCGTGCCCCCTCTGCCTGGGTTCAGGTGTTCTCTGCTGTGGTTTCAGAAAAGCCAGTATTGGCTAGGTCCCTTTGCTTGTCAGCTGTGTCCCTAGAAAGGTATTCATAGAAAAACCTGCCCCATTAATGGAATCCTACTTTCTGTGGGACTTCATGACAATTGAGATAAATTCTCTAATAAACATAAAATAAATAAAACCACCTCATAATAAATACAGTAAATAGATTAACCCCAAAAGACCTTAAGAATCTGAACCCTTCCTCTGTTAAAAAGTCAAAGTTAACTCACATTACCACTTGAAGAGAGGTGTGAAATGAAGATAATCAGTTGAAATCAGCTTTGTGCTCCAATTCCAATTATGCATAGAAAGAACCTTTTTGGGTATCCGTTTCTCTGTCTGTTCATCAGTCTTTCCTTCCTTCCCTCCTTTCTTTCCTTCTCCCTCCCTCCCTCCCTTCCTACCTTCTCCCCTCCCCTCCCCTCCCCCTCCCTCCCTCCCTCCCTTCCTTCCTTCCTTCCTTCCATCCTTCCTTCCTTCCTTCCTTCGGCAAATGTTATTTGAGCCTCTACCCTGAGCCAATATTGTAGTCAGGGAGGCAGGGGGCTCATAGGGACATAGTATGAGAAGAAATGCTCAGGGTAGCAGACCCTGTCTGGATAGGGTGTTGGCTCTCAGAAAGTTTCTGGAAGGCAGAAAGGGACAGAGGACATAAAACGAGGGGACCAGCAAAGGCACTGGCAGGTTATGGAACCTGTACGATAGAAACAAGTCTTCTCTCAAATAGGGTATTTCTCAAGTACTAGGCTGGGGGCAGGCTGGCATATGTCTGATAAGATAATGTCTGGGCCCCTCTCCACCCGCCCCCCCATTCCCGCTTCTCGCTTGAACGCTCTGGCTGCAGTGTAACTGCTCCCCAGCCTGTCACATGTGACTGCCTTCCCTCCCTGCAGCCGCTTAACAGAGAACAGACCGTGGAAATGTTTATCCCTGTCTGCCTTGCAGCTCTTCCATAGACGGCAGGGGTCACTTTGCTGGCACCAGCAGCCACTCGTTGCCCCAGGCACTTGTGACAGCTCTCACGATGTGGCAGTGACAGCAGTGGGATCAGACACAGGAGTACCTCCGCTGTCAACATGCAGCACAAGGGCGTCTGGGGACCCAGGGAAAAACCATAAGCTCCTTTTCTCTCCCCACCCCCAGCACAGAAAAAGCTTTTAATTCTACAAAGTGCTCTCGGGTGAGTCTTTGCAAAAAGGAGTTGAATCTGAAAATAACAGTGGTCTACAGCCTGCAGAATAATAGCAGCCTGCATCTACTGAGGGTTAACCTGGATTATTCCATTTATTCACTATGGAAACCCTATGAGAAGTGTCCTGTTATTACCGTTCCAGCAAGTGAGCAGACGGCATAGAGAGATCAAGTCCCTGGCCCAAGAGCACACAGTAAGTGGTGCAGAAGGATTTAAGCCAGGACACTTGAGACGCAGCCCACCCTAGAAACAGCTGTACCCTGCTGATGCCTAGCAGGACACATTCTGACAATTTTTCATATCTTATGGGACATGCACTGAGTTTCGCTTCCATATGCCAGAAGTCCATTTGTATTCTTTTACCTTTATTAAAAAAAATTTTTTTTAACATTTATTTATTTTTGAGAAACAGAGTGAGACAAAGCGTGAGGGGGGGGAGGGGCAGAGAGCAAAGGAAACACAGAATCCGAGGCAGGCTCCAGGCTCTGAGCAAGCAGTCAGCACAGAGCCTGATGCGGGGCTTGAACCCACAAACTGTGAGGTCATGACCTGAGCTGAAGTTGGACACTCAACCGACTGAGCCACCCAGGTGCCCCAGCATTCTTTTACCTTTAGATCACTGACAGTTTTTTCTATCTTTTGTATGTAATGCCAAACAATTTGGAAATAAGTTAGCTTTGTTGTAATCCCTATGTTTCTAAAGATCTTCTACCAAGTATACTGAGAATAGAGTGCTTAGGACTATAGGGACTAATATCAGAACTTCAAGAGGTCTTAAATGTATCTTGTGGTTGGCAAGTAACTTGCCTACTGCTATTTACTCACTCCTTGTTCCTTGAGTGACCCGTCTGCTGAGTGGAGTCAAAACGGTGGGTTCGGTCATGCCTCTTTGTACATCAATACAGGGAACTGTTTTAAGCTCTATCATTATGGATTTAATATTAGACTTTCCGTGGGTTGGTTTGTTTTGTTTTGTCAATGTCCATCATTTAGCCATCTGAGTTCTTGTTTCCACCCTCCATCTTTTTTTTTCCCCACATAAAATCTGTCCATTAGAAGCAGAGATCTCCCAAATTGACAGGAATTCTACACAATAACTGACCAGTACTTTTCAAAAGTGTGAAGGTCATAAAATGTCCTCCACACATCAGAGGGGGCATGATGTCTCAATGCAATGGGACAGCCTGGGTAAGACAATGGGACAGAAAGAGAACATTAATGGAAATATTGGTGAAATCCAAATCAAGCCTATAGTTGAGTTAATAGTATTGTACCAATGTCAATTTCTTAGTTCCAATAAATTGACCTAGGATGTGCAAGGTGTTAGTTAACATTAGGCGAAGCCAGGTAAAAGAAGGCAAATGTCCTCTTTTTTGCAACTTTTCTATTTTCTAAAATTCTTTCAAA